TCTCGCTGCTTTAAAAAAATGGTAAAAGTTATGGCCTGTAAGTTTCATCGTCACTTTGCAACGAGTCGCCCATGTGGTGAGGAAAAGTAGAGCTGCAGCATCCAGCGGCCAGAAGTGGCCGCTCCGGACATGTGAAAAGGCGGCCTCTCTGGTGCGATGATCTCGCCTCCCAGTCGGGAAGACCTTGTTGAGTGGATTGATGAACGCCGTTATGTCAACGCGTTGAGTAGCCCATGCACCAAATTTGGAAGGTGCGCAAGCGGTGGCTGCCCAGGCATATTTTCCCACGGAATGATTGGTTTCTCATCCACAGTAGATGGTGGGCCAGTGCGACGCCAGAGACCGCTCCCTCCTGCAATATGCAACGCTCACGTCGAACCGAAAGCTGGTCGCGCAGTTGGCGCGAAGCTGTCTTGATTGAAGGCTCTGAAAGCCTTGGGTCTTTCCCCTTAGGTCAGAACACGAAAGCTGGGCTGCAGAGGGACGGCATGAAGCGACCGTGCCACGAGTACCCACAGAGACGGAAGTAGTTGAAATATGGCTAGACTAGAAGGCCATGGTGCTATATTGAAAGGCCAATTACCTCGGCTGTTGGAGGTTATTGGGAAAATGCCGGGCGCGACGCGTCTCACGGCCGGGCGCGGGCCGACCGCAGAGTGACAGAGTCTCCACGTAGCCCGCCTTTCACCAACCTGACCGACCTTAGGATTACGTGACAGAGGGATATCTATGCCCAAGTGTCTCAGGGGCTATGGAAGATCTGCAGTCGCGATCGAATTCGAGATCGAGGTTTGTCATTTGCTAGAAATCGTGATATATATATTATTCCAATATGATTGTCTGAAGTCTGAGATATATATTTGGTGTAGCCCCTAATGTTGAGGAATTTTACAGACTACTAAACACGGCAGGATTGTGTTAATCAGGCAGATGAATTGATCGATGATGAATATTTGTACTTTCTGATCAGGAAATCCGATGTAAACAGACCACATACAAGAATAAGAATGATATTTTTCCAGGTCCAGGATTTGGAAAACCCGACAGGGGGTTCAACTGAGGTTGCCGAGTTGAACCCCAAAAGCCACCATGATTGGTCAGTCCGCCATCCGGAAGTGATTGCCACCGCCTTCTTGAACCACGAACCACGTCAACAAAGCCTGGCCCGCCACTTGCGAACGTCAGGGTTGGTCGTCAGACCAGGGTAGCTGACTGCCCAACTGGCCCTCACATCATCACCTGAAACGAATGTACGCATTCGCCACTCTCATCCGCATTATAACTCATCACAGGCGCTAGATTGAAGAACTTCTCGCCGCGTTTGCCGAGCTCCCGCCCTGCCAACGTTCGCTCCAACGGAAATTCATGAGTGAAACAGGATGCCCGGGCTGTCACCTCGCCTGTCATGTCTCACTGAACATTCTTAGATCCCAACACCCAAGACTCGACGAGCTCGACCTTTAATCGCATACGATGCCAAAAACCTCTAGATCCACCCGGAAGATGGATCCGAAGCTGTTGGAATATCTAATTCCTGCATCCAAATGCGTTCCGCCCTGTCCTCCTCCACCCTTGATGCGTCCAAGGCTGCCCAGAGAGCCAATGTAGCCCGGCACAAGCGTGCATTGACTGGGGTGAATTGGCCGGAATGGAAGTGTTCTTCCAATACAAGCTTTTGTGTGATGTCACCCACGGCTGTCGCTAGATGGCAGAAATCCGTGCAGCAGGTGCAAAAGAACTCATTTTCGTGAGCTTGCTGATCACGTTGGCCGCGCTTCTCAGTACTTGGGTCTAGTGGGAATTGTGCCACGCTCTTTGCTGTACTGAGGTGTGTCTTTGTGGTCTCTAATGCCATGGTCGTTCTCCCCGCCACAAAGATCCGATGGTCCAGTGGTGTAATCTCGGGAAGATCATCCACGGGGGTAGGCAAAGCCGTCGAGGAGTGTAGTGTTGGCGTGTCTGGCGAGCGACTGTATATACTCGATGCATTAGACGGTGGGCGGGCCATCAGTGAAGCAAGCTATCCGGCGCTTTAGGATCATGTTTAGCGGCCGATCACGCTCATATTATGCTCAAACGGCAGAGAACATCGGAGCCTTGTGACAGCAAATGCTACGGTATTATACTCAAGTATTGTGTCCTTGAACCGGAGAAATCAGTGATTGAGCGGACCGCACTTTCCAGTAGGCTGTTGGCTAACGTCTGTGCTCGCTGAGCTGAGCTACCTAGCAATTTCTGAGTCATCTGAACCTAGGACGGGGAATATAGCAGCCTCGCAAAATATTACTTTTACTAAAATTTTCTAGTTCTCCCCCATTCAATCTTGGCAAAGCTAGACCGATGGTCAGCCTAACTTTCGTATTGTTTGCCGCGCAAACGCACTGCGTAACAGATTCATCGACCGAACATGTTTACATAGTAGCGCCAAGCGGAAAGCGCAGTAACCGTACGCATCTTTCACTTTAAGATCAATCTGCGGGTGTTGTAACAGCCGTTCAACACATGCAGTATACCCGCTTGCAGCAGCAAACATGAGGGCCGTGAAGCCCGAGGGCCCAACCTCATTCAGTGCGATTCCATCTTGCGAGAGAAGAAGAGACACTATATTTAAATGTTGGTTGATGACAGCCACATGCAGGGGTGACGTTCCAGACGGGGCTTTCTCATTGATCTGAATAGCTTTCTGGGTCAGCAACCTCTGAGCCGTGGCGAGCGAACCCACCTGACACGCTGCCCATAACGGTGGAACAGCCGGACCAGGAATGGCATTGATACAAATTTTGGGCTGTCTCAGAAGCATCTGCAGTAAACGAGGGCTTTGATGCTCCGCTGCTCGCGCAAGAGGGGTAACAGCCCCGCCGTCCGCATCATTCAAACGGAGGTCATCCTGGTCCAAGAGCAGCTGCACGAGCGCCTCATTCTGCTGGTCCACCGCGTGCCATAGCATCGTGCGCCCTCTAGAATCCTGGTGATTGATGTCAAGCTTTGGGTTGAGCAGTAGGGCTTCCACTATCCGACGTGAAGACCTTCCCTTGAGGATTTTGACCGCGAGAAGTAGGGCTGTATTCCGGTGAGCGTCACACCAATTGACATCCAAGTGGGGGTTGCGGGCCAGGATCTGCACTGAGATATGGTCTTCCTTTCGGACTGCGAGGTGTAGCGCATTCTGCCCAAAGCGATCTTCGATGCTGACGTTCACGCGGGGATCGGTCAGAAGATGGCTTAGAATGGCGTGCTCGGCGTTTTCCACTGCGTACATCAAAGCGGACGTGCCATCGGTGCATCGGCCATTGACATCCAGCGCTGGGTACTGCAACAGGCGTTCAACGATGGCAAAATTGCCCTTTTCGACCGCCTTTGACAACGACCCTCGACCTTGAAAGTCGCAAATATAGGACAGCCGTGGGTGATGTTCCAACATGAGATTAACTGCTTGCGGGTAGCTTATCTGAATGGCAAGCAGAAGCGTACTCGTACCACGGTACTCCGAGCTGGGATTTGCGTGATAACGAGTCAACAAAAGTCGCGCAATGTCCAGCCGACGGTTGAGTATGGCTCGATAAAGAGGTGGCATCTCATTGTGCTGGAGACGCTCAAAGAGAGCCGCCGTACAAATTGGCGCGGTTTCCCAGCAGCAGGCAATCGACTGAATGATATCCTTCTTATCGAGGCTCCTGCATATCCAGAGTAAAAGTTTGGCTGGAAGTTTGTCTAGCATCTTCGTATGCAGTATTAAAGCGAATATGGGTCGACGTAGGCGGCTTTGAAGCTCTGTAACACCCTCTAGGGCTTTAAATACACCAATGTAGACAATACACTCTAAAGAGCGACCGAGATTCTAGCACAACTTGCATGGTGTAATCATTACTGCCATGCTGGGGGACGTTGATATTGACTTCCATCGATGCACATTGGACCCTCGGCCGATACACAAACGGCCAAGTTCTATCAAGCGACTGCGGTCTGGATTCAAAGAACGTGAATCCAAAAGAATGCGTGTGGTGTAAAAGCCACGGGTGGCTATTAACATGACTTTACTATATATAGCTGATGCCCTATATATAGACCTACTGACGACGAGTACGCAGCCCAAGTACCATTCTTGCCTATATTATAACACAGATTGTCAACTAGTATTTCGATGTTAGGACTGAGTCGAGGCATTAAAACGGTATCATTATTATACTTCCAATAATATTGTAGGGCTCTCAGATAAGAATAGTTGCTATTGTTAGCGTGTTTTGGTTTACTTTATTCTTCTTACATCCGCCAGGCTGACAATATTTACCAATACTTTAGCGCCCAGCCTAAATTGATTAAAACTATAGTCTAATAGCAAACACGGGAAAAAGAAATAGGAGGAGCGCTGAAGCAGTAGCTTGTCTAGCGGTGAATTAATTATTTTTCTAACATTTCATAACTGGCTTCACTTCGCATTTAACATTCTGTCTGTCGTGAGGTTTTTAGATATATTTCTCTCTATCCGTGCCGGCTTGATTCTGCAAAGCTATGCAATGTCTCCAGAAACTGTTCCTGGGGCATTTTAGAAATAAACAGAGGGATTGCAGTCGCTCAAAGATGTCGATAGGGGGACCTCCAAAAGGGCTCGAGTCACAATTGACACTGCCGTCCAAGTGCTATGCCACCGGGATTGACGTGATTCTCCATCCAACCTGGCCTTCTAGAAAACGGATTCCCTCTAGGCCGACTACTTTCCCTTCACTGAATACGAGGCGTCATTTGAAGTTGCTTCGAAGAGAATGAACACGACCACAGCTCAAGTTCATCGGATATTAGTTGTTCCGTAGTCAGGATCGGAAGATCGGGCATTAAACCAACCTACCCCGCCGCGGTGGTTATCGCTACACGTTCTACTGCGATCACAGTATCGCCCTCCAAGATTCATAGTTACTACGTGGAGTGTGTTTTATCAAAGGTAATATTCTCTTCGCTTTCGGAGATCATGCGCTTACTTTTCCCCAGCCACGCCTAGTTCCGTCATGCCGACCCCTGTTCCGTCCGATGCCCTGCCAAAACTACAAGAACTAGCAACATGGGTCTCCCAGAGTGCTGAAATGAAGGGGAGCAAACCCGAACTTTTGGAATGCGTGGACAACGATCGGAAAGAGAAAGCACGGCCATTATTGGAGAAGTTAGGATATGCCAACATCAAGGTAAAGACGACTTTCCTCGACTTTACCATGAAGGAGTGGCTAATCAAATTAGCATACTGCTTTGCTGCTGCGAATATGTGGCAAGGCTTCCATTGCGAAACCTATATCTTGCAAGCTATTATTCTTTCCGCTGTCAGGAGAAGACGTAAATATCGATGGCGAAATTCTCACATCAGGGACCTACATAGAGCTTACGAAGACTTTGGAGCTCGACGCACGCCTTGATTGTCTGATCTTGATTGTCTGATTGTCGTCTTACCTTGATGCGTATGACGGGAATTACGGGGAGCTTTACTTCTTGTTCAAAATTTGAAATGTATAAATTGTTATTACTGCACTTTTCTCAAAGCGATACGTATAGAACACCATTCAAAGCCGAGCTTCTACACTAACTTAACTATGTATAAACGCGAGACTGATTTCTTTTTTCAAATTAATCCACCCTCTATACTCGGTGGAAAGCCATGTAATAAGCCTAAGTCTGTATTGAATAAAAAGTTTGAGTGGATAGAATTTAGGACTAATAGTATTAGGGATCACCTTTGGCAACAAGTTGCGGTTTAGAAAAAGAGTTATGGACCAAAAAATGCCATCCTTGCTAATGGGTTGAATGAATTGAGTTGCCGTCCAGCGGACCCGAAATGTTGAACTCTGTCGTGCATCTTGCCATATCATCGAAAGATACATTGGACAACGCATCGATTGGATTTGGAAACACGCTGAACAGCGCACTGCTTTCCAATGGGTCAAACCCTTCTGTCATCGGCTGGTCCATTTGCGTTGCCCGGTCGCTTGACAATGGCTCAAATTGGGTTGGATTTGGAAACACGCTGAACAGCGCACTGCTTTCCAATGGGTCAAACCCTTCTGTCATCGGCTGGTCCATTTGCGTTGCCCGGTCGCTTGACAATGGCTCAAATTGGGTTGGATTTGGAAACACGCTGAACAGCGCACTGCTTTCCAATGGGTCAAACCCTTCTGTCATCGGCTGGTCCATTTGCGTTGCCCGGTCGCTTGACAATGGCTCAAATTGGGTTGGATTTGGAAACACGCTGAACAGCGCACTGCTTTCCAATGGGTCAAACCCTTCTGTCATCGGCTGGTCCATTTGCGTTGCCCGGTCGCTTGACAATGGCTCAAATTGGGTTGGATTTGGAAACACGCTGAATAGCGCACTGCTTCCCAATGGGTCAAAAACTTCTGCCATCGGCTGGTCTAACTGTGCCTGGTCCCAAAATCTGGACGGTGATGATCCGTATTGCAGTGAGTTGGGAATACTCTGCGAGGCGATAATTTGACCGGGCTCAGCCAGGGGTAGCGGATCAGCATCGAGATCTGGCCATTCATTCGACCTAGGAAGACTTTCTGCAAAAGGGCAGCCGTCTCGATTCTCAGTGTCACGATTGACCATCGTGGAGGATGATCGAGCCCGCATAATCCATGACGGCGAACTAGCAGAGTTTTCTCCTCGGGTATTTGGATAGAATGGCAAAGGTGACTGGCCAATAATGCTTTGCTGTGCATACTGATTTCCGATTGGGGAGTTTGGATAGATATCGCGTGCACTGGTTACCCTATCATTTGCATTGGTTGTGTCACTGCCAAAGAGGCTTGCCACTGATGTCAATGTACTAGTTCGGTGCTCTGCAAATTGACCCTCTATATCAGAGCTTGGAGGTGACTCAGAGGTTGACGAGCAAGCGCTAGACGGGGGGGTAGGTGTTTGGACGTAGCCATCTATAATTGTTAACACAAAAAGGTTGGTGGGGGTAAAGAAGCGGGGTCGTAAATAACCTTCTGGAGGGACAGCTCTATTCCCACGCTGTCTTTTTGACGAACTTCCAGATGTCTTCTCTATGTTCTTTCTTTTTTTGGGACGCTGCTTTTGTTGGCTTTGTTTTGGTTCGATAATGGCTGGGTAGTATGCTAATCTAGATACCTCGGCGTAGCTAGACAGGGCGGACGAAGTGTCACCCCTCGGTGGGTAACGTGATTCGGCTCCTGGATCAGCGTGAGTAACTACACGACCGCTGGTCTGCTCGCCCAAAAAAGACGACTGATCAGGTAATAGGTACCTGCCCTTCTATTGGTCACGCCCGTCGTGCCAGTCTCTTCATCATCGTTAGCAACATTCAACATGTGTGCCTCAACATCGGCGTGGGTGGCGTTGTGGCCGACTTCGGGTGTATCTGCCTCTGTAACTAGCAAATTCGTATCATCCAGTCGATTCAACAGCTGATTACTCATATCTGCTCGTGCAGGCGAGCCATCTTGTGCCATTATTTGGGAATTAACGAAGACACCTATTCACTCATCAACTAATGTTTTCATTTCTCCGGTAGAAGGGGCAACCGACCATTTTGTTTGATGGATTGTTGGAAGTGAGTCCAAATTGTGTCCATTACCTTCTCAGAGAATTTCTCCAATGTCTCTTTGTCTTCATCTGATAGTTTATCACGATTCTTAATCGAAGCGATAAATTCGTCACGGCGATTTCCATTAAGTGGTAATCTCTGTAGTCTGCATTTATAAGCCTAATGAACAGTCGTCTCTGAGCGATGATACACTTACTCGGTATCAGATATGTCGTCGAGAAGAAATAGATTCGCAGTATAACAATAATCAGATTTTGTTTTGTGTCCCATATCCTTGCAAATGTCAACAAGTCGGGATCCACGATCTACCCATTGCAAGGGTTTGTGATTAGAAGTTATCGCGTTTAGCCCGCCTTGTTGCAATGTGTTGATCATTTCTTCCTTAGCATCGCCTCGAAGCCTTTTCTTCTCTAGGACTTCGTCTTTGACCCGATGGTAAGTTACTTGGAGAATTCGCATCCGTACGCTGTCAAAATCGCTTTTTTTATTCAATAATCCTCCAATGTATTTGTCAATAGAACTGAGTAAATCTTTCTCAATGTTCAATGTGTTTCCGTGGAAAAAGGAGAGTGGGTCTTTTGTCCAATCCGCTAAGCTGTCGAAAAGAGCTTGCACCTTTTCATTTTGACGATTGAATTGTAAATCTTGTGTAGCTGAGTTGTCACTGCGACCAGTATCCGCAGCGGGCTGAGAGGTCGCCGCTTGTTCCCCAGAGGCCGCTGCTGGATTATCGTCCTCAGATGCGACCACCGGTTCATTACCCCCAGAGGCCGCTGCTGGATTTTCGTCCTCGGATGCAATCACTGGTTCACTATCTCCGGGGGTCGCTGCTGGATCGTCGTCCTCAGATGCGACCACCGGTTCACGACTTTCAGAGGCTGCTGCTGGGTTGCCGCTCTCATGTAAGACGACAAGATCTTGCGTTTGTTTTGGTAGATGAGACAAAAAGGCTTTCAGCGCTCCGACGAACTTGCTATGTTAATTACAGTTCAAAGCTTGTCCCAACGCTGAAGACTTACCTTCTCGTCGTGTTTGTTAATCGTTGCCTCGGGGGCTCCATGTTTCATTGCGATAGAGTAGACCTCATAGAGCATATCTATGATCCTGCTTGTTAGAGAATCCATGTCATTGTTTTGGAAAGGACAAGTTGAGCAATCTATTAGAGTGGAGAGTATGGTGGAGAAATATTGCGAAACCTACTGAAATCTCTCTGAAGGGGGGGGAAGGAGTCTGGACCCTGTGATTGAAGCAAATTGAATCGGGGCGTTTAAATATCAGTTATGATTGGCTATTTGTTTGGATATAATGTCACGTTTGCCTCTAGCTACAGCCAACCGTTTCTGCGTAAGCGGGGCGTTGGAAGCGGCCGGTATCTACGGTCGCGCCCGACTCCGTGCCGATCGCTACCAGTAACTACTATTTTATATATGGCTATAAGGAACATGAAATGTATTGATCACTATTAGAAGCTTATATAATCTAGGAGCTCAGTCTGAGAACAGAGTTATTACACGAGTAGACAGTGGATACAGATATATACAGAGTAGAAGGTAAGATTGATGCAGGAGATGTGGGGCTATACTCCGATACCAGGTCGTTTTGCTGACTGCATTTCAGATACTTAACAACCCTCCTCGCCCAATCTTCTCTTGTCGAATTTATTCGTATATTTTAGTCCTAGGGTCACATATACTGTGTACGAGCTGACCCATACGGCTCATTTTCCTCCTGGGGTCCAATTTCTGTACGACTATTCCACATCTGGCGTATAAGTCTGCTTGGAGCAGAGTTAGAGCACAAATGTGGAATAGCGTGGTTTTCTCCGACTCCGCTTCTCCGGCTTCTCCGGCAATAAAAACCACGCTATTCCACATTTGTGCTCTAACTCTGCTCCAAGCAGACTTATACGCCAGATGAGGAATAGCGTCTGCATCCTCTGCATTTCATTGCAGCTCCCATTCCATCATCTGATGGAAAAGAGCCATGATGAGGGGCCCGTGCGATGTGCTGAGCTGCGGGCGGCTCCTGAGCTGCACAGTCCATCACATGAGAGCTCAGGCGCCCACCTTCTGGTTTCATGCCATCACCTTCACTTTTTTTTTTTAATAAAAAAGACTTACGTCAGGCCTGGAGGGTTCGCGAATGATATCATAACTCTTTACTGATATATGGAAGAGGGAACAATCCTTGCATCAACATGCCAAACAGCGGTAGCCCCAGACCAGATATCATAACCATCAACCGTCAAGAATCTCGCTTTGTAATTCTCGTAACTGGACCTTCTGCCAGGAATTAGGCGGTCTGGTTACTGCTGGTGACACCTCAGATCTTATATCAAAATATCAAAGCCCTTGTAAATGATCCCGGCCCCCCAAATTCGCTTAGTTCACTATTTATATGCATTATGATATACCCAAAGTTAAAGCATGCCGCTTGAAAGAAATCCATTGAGTCTAGACTTCCACTCCAGCCGCCATAAATATCAAAGCAGAAAAGGATCACCCCCTATGCCTACGCCTTTCCTAAATTGGCGTTTCAACATGATAACGAACAAACCCGGGCTTTTAGATATAGATGTTGAGAGAGCGGTAAGCTACCTGTCAGTTGGCAGTGTAGTTAGCACAATTTCGGAATAGCTTCAATATTACACTCATTACATCTATTTGATTTAATTGCGAAGCCAGAAGGCACAGTACTCTCAGTTCAACACATGTTTGAATAGCGAGGAAACTCCCTCCATCCGTAGTCTGTGATTATTCCAGATGGGAAATGCCTTTGATTAGGGCAGCATGAGCATATCTCACAAGATGAAGGAATTTCTCTTGATGGACCCGAGAGCCTTTTAGATAAAGGGTGTATTTGAAGATGTTCTTTGTTATTCAGAAGCACGGCCAATCTCTACTGGTAGAGGATTGATAGTCAGCTAATTTTTCCAGAATCTGATCAGATGCGATTTGATACTAGCTTTGTAAGGATAAAACTCACAATTCAGATGGCAGAAAAAATCCGCGTTAACATGAGGCAAAAGCCCGCACGGATGATCTCCTTACCGTCATTCCTCAGGCATTCTGGCCTGCTCCACACCCCTATCAAAGAATACAAGGACCAAAAAAGAGTGCACACTAAACAAACTATTCTAAATCTTATGCTAGCCACTGGCAAAGTGCTCTCAGAATAAAGTATAAGATGCTATGATTTCAGCAAACTTGTTTAGCATTCATCAGTTACTCTCACACTCATTATTCTCTATTTGAGGCAATATGACTGAGCATTCCGATACTAGCTGGTGTACTACCCCCCCCCCCAATATATCCCCTATTGTTTGTTCTTGAAAACCTGACAGTTGCATCGATGAAATAGTAACTCCTCAGACGTCGGACTACTTAAGAGCAGTTGAAGTGGTGTCGGGCAAAGCCAAATACAAATCAGCCGAAGAGAAGAAGTTGTGGGAGGTCCTCCTCAATATTGCGCGTGATGAAGTCCAAGCCGAAGTCGAAAAACATAAATTCTCCCCAAACGATCGTCAACTAAGAGTTTTTACTTCTATTTTCTGGTTTTTTCTTGGAGCCACAAATGGATGGAATTGGGAGTTGAAAAAAATACAGGAGAAATGGAAAAAACACCATAAGGAATGGGAAGATGGGCCTCATCGCCAGAACTATAAACACATCACACCGAGTAAGCTCAGATCCCCTTTAGCACAAACTATGACGACCGAGCTGCTGCCAAATTTGTCCCAGAAATATGCATATCAAGGTTTTACTGACGTATATACTGCAGATGATCAGCTCGCCCACTATTATCCATATTGGGAATACCTTATGAATGACTGTGAATTCAACATGCCGCCTTTTCGGACATATCAAATTCATCCGGATGTGCAAGGCTGAGGTCTTTGAGGAAGTTGAAGTGCAAGGGTGGTACAGGGATACCTATGTTCCAAGGTTGTATTCTTGTTTCTCTCCCGACATCAGGAAATGCGCACATTCACGGCTCTCAGACACTATCCGAAACTCTAGACTTACTAGTTCCAAATGAGTGAATCAGGACTCGAACTCGCTAGGTTCATGCAATGCATGATAATTCTGGGCCTTCATTTTTCTTCCAAAATAGGGAATATCGTAACAATTAAGTTGAGTTCCATTGTTATCCACTTGAGCGATATTCAAACAATGGCTGCGTTATATCATTCATTGCTTGTGAACCAGTTGCTACTTTAAAAGACTGGACATATCTTATGAAAATACAAACCGATTCCCTAAGTATTTTCCATGCTTTACCAGTTGATTGCAAGCTTGCTTGCGCCTTGCTTTAGACCTCCCCTCCACAATGACGACGAAATACCCAGCAGAAGACCAAACAGATCACAGGAAGAACCAGACGTACCCAGCATTACATATCATATGCCCGAGCGCCCCGCTGTATACAATGCTAGCACAAACAGGGCAAAAGCTACAATTAGCCGAGCCCTAATACATCCCCGGCCAGACTCGCTTACATGCGATAATTGCCAGTCAAAAGTTCGTTTAGCTATCACTCCAGGCATACACTCTTCTCACATTTACGACAGAAATCCTCTCTCAGAATCACAGGCTGGTACTTACCACACTTGTCTCCGATTCCTAAACACGCGGACCTCAAGATCAAAGTCTCTGCATGCAAGTGTATCAAGGATCTTACTCTAGAAAGGTTAATCAAGCACCCGCGTTGCTATGAATCGCTCAGGAACTCTGGTCTGGTCGACACAACTATAAAAGAATACAAGGACCGAGAAAGAGCGTGTAATAAAGGGACTCTCTTAGCGGCGTTTCTTCTACATGTTTTTAATGTTATATAGGGTCACCACAATGGTATGCCCCGCCTCTTGAATAGATATGTACTTTGCTTACTGGGAGACAGACTAGTCTTCGTATGGTATATATGCCTTTGGCAGGGAATATATTACGACAACTGCTCCCCTTGAGGATGAAAATCCTCCCATCCAGCGATAAGCCTGGATTGAGCAAAGACGCTAAGATAATATTCGATATGGTTCAAAATTTGCGAAAGGGCTCTGAAAAATTGCGTGGAAAAATTGACACATACTCGGAGATTCTAGGGTACTTGATGATAGGGTCAAAGAATTGCGAAATGGCTCCGAGAGTTTAGACCGAAAAATTAATGTTATACGCACAGATGCTGGAATGTTGTTTGATAAGGTCAAGGAACTGAGAAACGACCCCGGAAAAATCGAGGAAGCAATCGAGATTATACTCGGACTACTTGAAGATAGCACTTTATTGAAATTTGCTTTGATTCATTGGGAATTGCTACCGCCCATCCCGCCGGGGACTGAGCTGTTGGAGGATGATGTTGTTCAACTGGTCTCCTTTCTTAAACACCCTAAATATGCGGTATTGCGTGAAGTTAAGATATTATACGAAAGAAGAATGGGGGGAGATTATCCGTGAGCAATGTTTGACATTCTTCTTGCGCACAATGCTGATACTTGGCTATACACTTCTTGATTTGTGTCTTGACTTACGGATATAATGGAGGCTATAATTAATAATGACAAGACGCCTCTGGATGCGGTGAAAGAACAATTTGGGACCGCAAACCTTTTTCTACGTGCCATTCCAATGCAGTGGGACAAAAATGCTCAAACAATTTTGGCCTTATATTTTATCTTCATCTGCGCCTACGACAACAATTATAGTACTCGTTTCGGACGGAAGCTGGAGAACAAAAGGCTAACTTAAGGAGGATGCTTCAGATGTGGAGCACGACGGGAGAAACATTCTCTTAAGCGGTCATAAAACCTATTCTGATATTGTGGAGACGGCATTTCGCATCTGGAATGGAACATATGTTAATTAGAGTAGAAGATAATGGATGGGATGATAAGCAGTCGTTCATAATGCCATGTTTTGGTCTTTTTCTGACTTTAGTTGAATTTGGTTAGTCAAAACTTGGGTTATTTCTACCACTCCCAACCAAGAATTGTGCAAAATCAACGCTAGGCATATTATATAAGGAGTAGAGATGCCAGAAGTCTAACTGTGACTTATTCAGATCAACACTGTCTTTCGAGATGGATCAAACCGATCGGCAGAACTCGCCGAAGCTTGATCTAAAGTATATCATACCATCTTGGGTTATGCCGCCTGAGCTTGGGGATGTTTCAATTTTCGACCGGTATACCACTCTTCCCTGGCTTTCTACTGCAACCATCAATATGGAAACAGAAAACTCTGAAGTTCGAAATTCAAAAGCCCCGCGAAATAAATCCTAGTGTACGTGGATCGGTTGCACAATGCACGTTAGTCGCAAGGAACATTTGAGACGGCATTTGTTGTCGCACTCGGGAGAAAAGCATCATGTTTGTTGGGTGCTAGAATGTGGCCGCAAATTCTCCCGGAATGATAACCTCAATGTTCACTACACCAAGACACACTCCAAACGGTCTGGGCGCAACCGCTATGTTGCCACTCTGGATAATACAAGTCCTTATTATGATCCGAACTTTCGCGGCGAACTCACACCTGATGGAAATCCGGTCTTAGCTAACCGTGAGCCCTAAAAAATTGTGATACTATCATCCTGCCTTTCGCTGAATACGTCAATATATCTCTGTCCTTGGCCAATGGGATTATGTGTCTATCATCCAATCAAGTCCAACTCGATAATCCATTATGCTGGATGAGATCCTCGAGACTCTAGATTTCGTGCCATATGCTTGCTTGATTTGGTTTATTTTTGTAGTCATTTGTCTTTTATTCCACTTGTGCTCTAGAGGATACTAGACAGCAACGCCCTCGCGGCAGATATTATACTCTCATCAAGATGGTAGGCCTCACCTTATTCGATACACTTGACATTTCTAACTGAGAAACAGAATAACATTCCTTTGCCCCGTGAGGCAATCCTCGGCTTTGAATGTTTCTCTTGCTCATGTAATCTATTACAAATGTGTTCAAATCTGATGCTATATAACCAAAGTTGTCTGCCGCACTGGAGGAAAGGACCGACAAGCTGCTCTCTTGCTCCATACCTCGAGATATTGTGCACGATGAATGAGAGCTCACGCAAACACACGGCTGAGGGCATTGCGCACTTGTTTCATGGCTCCCACGCTTTGGAAGCCACGAAACAAGCTTGCGGGAAATCGATTGATTGCACGTACTCTAGAAGCCGCTGTGAACGACAGGATGGAACTGAATTCTATCCAGTACTTCCTTCCGTGAACCAATCTCTACTTATTCTGATCTATTTTTTTATCAACGCCATGGACCCCAAAAATAATCCTTCACAATGGAAAGTCATTATGCGCAATGACATAGACTGGGAACAGAGTTTCATACCTCAGTATGACAGAGTAACAGAGTGGTGGATGGGTGCTCGGAAAGCCCTCGGTGATCCATATGCCTCAACAAAAGACATATCACACCGAGTGAGATATGCCTCGATGGAGGACATGATACTTCAAGTCAGGTATCTCCTATATGCGCTTTCGACAATTTCCTCGCAGGACCCTTGTCTTCTTTACAGAACGTGGGGGCTGCGACAACCCCCATATCGAGTTTTTGGAGCGCAAGCGAGCATCGCCCTCCTCTGCTATTGTTTCTATGGATTACATGATATTAAAGGGTGGGAGAAATGTGAAATTTTTAATTACGACGAGGCAGAAATTGGCGCGCTGGCCAGCAAGCTCAAGATCTGTCCTATCTTTGGTACAACCATCACATCTGAAAATTTGAGCAAAATGATCAAATCCATAAAACCGGTTCTCGAGCATGAGGATATGCGTTGTGGATGGATTTTGCCCGAACAAATCAACATCAATGATAGTAATATGGTAATGAACTATTACTTTCGGGCCTTCACAGCTTTGGACCCGCGGTTGATTCCTGTGTTGCAAAGCAGAATGTTTGGGAAGCATGAAACTTGGGATATCGAAGATCAAGACAAGAATAGTAAGGATACCCTATCCTCCTTCTTTTATCAAGTCGCTCATTCCATCAGGAAATGCCCTCTTGGAACTTGCCTGTGCATTCCATAGCATAGACTGCGCCAACTTCAGCCAGTATATACTCGGCGGGATAGAAAGATGTCAAGCTGACACCAATGTAATATTGGAAATACTTGACGTTAAAAGTAGCGAAGTGAGGAAACGCTCTAGGCCGCTCGGTATACCTAGCCTTAATACCATGGCAGAACTCAGCTAATTGTTTCTTTAGATGTAGGGAGCCCAGTTCGAGTGGTTCTTGTGTCTCCTAATCATGAAGTCGATGACACACTGGAGTGGTAGTGACTAGAGGTTTGAGCTTGGCCAGGACTGTTTATGGCCCATTGAGACCATTTTTCAAGAGCACATACCCTAGAATTAGACAATTTTCTTGATCCCATTCACAACGCCTATACACCGAGGAAGCTAGATCACTGTTGAAAGGTCCCAAAATCCAAAATAGGAGAGCAAGGTTTCAACATCTATGAATATAACAAAATACAACTTAGGTGCTACGCACTGAGGATATTTGGCGATAACAGCCTTACACGATTCGCAGTTGACTTGTAGCATCTCAGGGATCTCGAACAAAAAAAGGTGTGAAGGCCGTGTCTACTTTGGGAAAGCAAATCGGTTATCTCGCATACTCATTATATCCGAATTTGCCGCTCGTGGGTCCGTAACATCATCACCGGCTATAATCTCCTAGCCTGAAAAAAACAAACAGAACAAAAAAAAAAGGAATCAAGGATATAACAAAGCGCGAATCTGCACACTCGGACCTAGTTAGCACGTTGTTCAGTATAAATCAACTATTCGGAATGGAAGAATCCCGTGAGTACCGACACTCGAATATTTTCATTCCAGAAACATATATGGTATGAAAATAGTCTTCGATAACATAGTAAACGGGCTAACACCTATGATATTGCGCAGATGGAACATTCCCAACAATCATCGAACGTTTGGCACTCTGCCTTTTGCATCTATATATCTTGACAACTACGGCCAGCCTCAAGTGCTGGCCTCGCCAGGAATTTCAAGCCTTGCAAGCCTTGGTATACCTATATTCACTCCAAGTACAATAAATCGATTCGTGGGTCTAGCCTCGGCTACTCACCAACCAGGTCCTCAATTCACTATTGAAGGGGGAACTGAGCTAGTTTGCATTCCACTCAGAAGAATGCCAGACGATACTCACAAAATAGCCTGCGTGAGGGATGCTCTTCGTATGGTTAGTCTGCAGCAATGGGATGATATTTTCCGAACATTCCCATCGATTCCGGCTGAAGTCAGAATGGAAGTAAACCTGTGCTTCAATGATAAGCAATGATCCGAAAAATCCTCACGGCACGCAGAAATATATTTAAACGCAGAGCGCTCTTTTCGAAATAGAATCTATGGTACATTCGTGACTTTTATATTAATGCAGTAAGTTCAATGCTCTAGGCACTGTAAGGATAAAACTCACAATTCAGATGGCAGAAACAATCCCCGTTAACATGAGGCAAAAGCCCGCTGCTTATTGCTTAATGCAGCTTCTTATCTTGCAGCCCCAACGCAATGATCTTGCTTGTCTGCCTCCTCTATCTGCCGATTTGTGCCGTCTACGTCAGGACTGCAAAAAATTACACGAAGGCAAAGCTTCAGTGGAGGAGATTGTGGACTCCGCGTTGCAGTATCTTTCGCGAGGAACAATACTGAAACTAGCGCTGGTGTTCCGTACATTCAATCACTGGTCACTCGATATCTCGATGGAGCTGACTGAATTCCTCCAACAGCCAGATGTAGAGACTGTTGAGCAGCTGAAGACTCTTTTTCGAGCTCATTATGCTCAAGATTATGATGAATTCACTATATTTTTTGTATGGTGGGGAATCGAGTAGCGTTGAAAGTGTTGCTAAAATTGCTATGCGAACACCCACCCACCAACGCTATCATACTTTTGTTTTCTACTTCCCCTATCCGAGAATTGGCGAGCCACTTGTACAACAGATTCTATGTCATTAATTACACACCCCTCCAAAATCACGTGGAATTAAACTTAGCAATTTTATTGTAGTCGCTAGAAGCTTCGGCAATAAACCCCAGGTACGACAACCGGGCATTTTTCGATAAATGTATAGATATTGAATTACTTGTTATTAGGAAATATACCAAGATGAGATTTCTTTGCGATCTATACATCATGAAACACATATGAAGTGAGCCACAGTAAATTGATCGCCAGCAGCATGATAGATTGTAGATGTTGCTTAGATTAACGCATAGCCCATTACTAAGAAAGACAGAATGGTAGCCGCGCAGCAGGTTTTCAGTATGGAAGTTGGCGTGGCCAAGCAGAATCTCCATTATTGCAGTAGACCCCTACTTCGTGTTTTGAATATTGGACTAATTGGTAGTTTGACCTAGACAGTACAGTTGAAACGACGGTCTATCTTGTTATAAAGCAAGACTCTTCCGCAACCCTGAAACAGTATCATGATCAGCTAAAATCAAGAAGAATAAAGATTACCTACAGCTTATTCAATATGATTACACAGTGGCTCATTGGTCATTTCAAGTCATGCTTCGGTTTCCCCCAAGATGAAGATTCTCCCTACGGAGAAGACATTACCCATCCTGAAGATGTAAGTTTTTCTAACTATGAAGCCGCTCTTCAACCCCCAGATAAATTACCTAGAGGCTAATTTATTTGTACTCGAGCAGAAAATGACACTGAGAATCATCACAGCACGAATGCCTCATGATATTCATCCCGATTATCATCAGCTCGTGTTCACTACGAAGCTGGGGAACAGTTTTCAACAATACACTCTAAGCGATTTGATGAAAAAACCTGACGGCCTTGACGCTCTGGACAATTATCCATGGTATCAGCTGCGCAAACGGGATATAGAGGACTACCTGAAAGAGGAAATCAACAAAGACAATCATGTCAGGCCAGAGGACCATGTTGTGTCAATTGTTTGAGAAGTACATGTATGTAATCTGCGTACATACATTAGAACAGCGGTGATATCTTTTAAAATAATCGATCCCGCATTCCTAGTAGACAAATGCATTCCGAACACCAAAATGATTCTCGATTGTCTATTTCAAGTTAATTCAATATTAGATTCAGTACCCAACCAAATCAGGCATCTTCAAGTGGATCTCGAGTGTTTGATTTTGAACGGGCTTCGAGACCTTGACATAATAAATAACCAGCAATGACCACGTATTTATATCATTGACATTCCCTCAAGAATCGACCCCACTGCATCGTGAAGCTCTTTGATCTTCAACGCCTTATATCACCATCGAGCTTTGTATTGTTTAGTTGCACTCCGAGCACGTCAGTACTTAGACATCTCTAATCTTTCAAATCGCTAAAGACTAAATATTGAAAGAAGGTTGCTATTTGATGTTCAATCACCACTCTCCAAATCTAATTTTGACTCGCATCAAGGAGTTCATATTTTGGCAGAGACACGTTCCTGAACACGTAAATTTTGCCACACAATGGCACCCAACAATGATCTGATGGCCATCGTCGATAAATGGCGTATGTTGGGCGTTCTATCATCAAGCAAGGCCATTCAGCTAATATCATCTAAGTCACCGGGCAAACGAACTTGGACTTCGAGATAGAATTCAATGATGTCGCTGAATATGTCAATGTATCTCTGTGTTCGGTCCATGGAGCAAGAGTGAAAGAAGAGATATGTTCAATTCTCGATGCTAGTCTATTGGATGCACCTCAAAGCGTGATTGAAAAGCTTCATGAAAAAGCTGAAGTACAAGAGCAGAAATATGTCAAAGTAATCATCCTGCTTATTGTGAACGGATTTCTCCCACCAGCGCATTTGCGTCGTCCGATATTTGGTATATTCTTGACGGAGCAAGGAGCAGACCTTACAAACCATCTGCTAGAGTTTCCATCAGCAGTGGTGGACCGTTTTAGAGAAAATTTGACGCTATTGCTGGAATTCATGTAAGATGTTCCATCTGGTTAGTCTGCAGGGAAGATATCATTGAATGAAAGTTCTGAATGGCTTTCTAAAAGCCCTATATGGAGCGACCTCTATTTTGGCTTGTGCCAACCAGAATCGTTGGAAATGAACTCTATTAAGACTTAATAATCTGTAACAAATGAATGAATAACGGCCCCATGCGCGACAGCAAGTTGCATCATGTATAATCTTGGTCGCCAGCCTTGAATACTCATCCGTTCCAAGGAACGGAGTAAGAAGAGAGAACTACTAGCAAGGCTTTTCACGATGACCGAGCCAAATTGGAATGTCAGATGTTTCTGATCAGCACCATTCTTTCAGGATGTGCTCAAGTATGAATCTTTTAAAGCGTCGGTCAAGCGCCCACTGGCAATCATCGCCGTGAGCCTTTATCAGCCTATTTGGACCTTGCCAGATTTGCGCATAATCGAGGAAGGAGACATACCACACCAAAATTGTGTTCTGGAACGCTTCGATCTTTACAGCCACCCAAGCACAGGAGAAATGGGTTTCGGTCAAATCTCAGGTTCTCTTCAAGACTATACAAGTTTTTCTCTTCAAGACTATACAAGTTTTTCTTTTCAAGGCACCCTTCGGGAACTGTGCCAAAGATTTAGAACTCGTCGAAGAACTGAACAAGGGTTCTTGTGGATCTAGAAGTTTCAACCTTTGAACTTTCCAAGAGAGCCTTGTAGTAGATAGTGGTAGCTCAAGACAGTCATTTCTTCCCCTTTCCTGACTCTACTATGACAACAAGAAGAAAAGAAACCAATTCTTTCCTTTTCAACGTTGTTGAAAACCTCCATAGATAGCGAGTATCACAAACTTGGTGATAAGTCCAATAAAAACACCATCCAGTATTGTCCTGGTTATATAAAGAGCCTGTAAAACGAAGCCAAATGAACTTGGAAGTACGTTTGTTGCCCAGATCATTAGTCATACAATCAAGGTATAAAATTGCAGCGGTCAGTCGATAACATTGTCATCTCGGTATTTCTCACAAATCAACCCCAGCATCTCAAAAATGAATCTAAAAGAGTTTTTGTTCGGCATCGTAATTTTTATTTTCCTTTATCGGTTTCTCGAAGCTGGCAATATGGCTAGCTGGTCGAGCTTATGTTTGAAGTCCCTCATACCAGCCTTAGGAATTGGAATTTTATTTTATGGGCTCTTACCTACATTTAGGGTGAGCTCACTTACGATGTGGCCATTTGTGAATGTCTTGCACTTCATTCAAATATCCGCAAACTCACGGCCAGTCAGCTTTGTCAATCAGTTGACTAGAAAGGTCCAGGGTAACTTTGTGGACATCAGAAGAATACCAATTCTCATGATAGGCCTTGTTCCTCGAGATGACCGCCGGCTGCAAGTTTGGCACGGAGTTCTCTTTCTTTGCACCATTGCAAGTAATATGATCGAAATTATTACGCCGCATCAAATGGGAATTTATCTTGGCAATCTTTCGAATCAAGGAAGCGGATCAGGCTTGATCGCTTGGACCTGTTTAGACTTTATTACAGGCATCGTTGTGGAGTTTCTTGAAAGAAAATCCAGAGGAATGGTGACTCGTTTCTGGATAAGTCAAGTCAGGAAAGCTGCCTTCAGCCATACTTTGAAGCTTTCTTCAGACTTCTACAGCCAAAAAGATTTGCCAGAGATCATACGCATTATCCACACAGCCGATTCACTGAGCGGAGTCTTGGATTTATCGCTCTTGGAATTCTTACCAACCTTAGCACGGCTAGCCGCCGCTTCTTTCGCCATCTATGTCAAGTTTGGGGCATTTATCTTCTGTTTGGCGATTAGTGGATCAATTGTCTATCTTTGGCTGGATAATCACGCATTTCATAATAATCTCAAGAAGACTGAGCCTGAAAGACGCTGTACAGATCTCGAGCTAAGCCGTGCAACGAATCAAGCCCTGGAAAAGCACATTATCGTGGAACTGTTCAACACAATCACTTACCATATTGGTATCTACGAACACGCCCTTGACGCTCATCTAGAGACTGAGAGCCGCTGGAGCCAGGTTGCTATATACAGGTCAATATCACTCCAAAGGCTTCAAAGGGGGCTATTTTTTGCAATCTCAATGATTCTTACACACCGCGGCACTTCGGCAGAAGATATCATTTTCCTTACTCTTTATTGGCCTACAATTGCAGGCCACTTATCAAGATTGCCGTCCCAATATACCAGGCTTCACTTGAAGTTCACGGACTTAAAGTGCCTTCTTGCACATCTCGATATAAAGCCAACAATCAAAGATGGCGAGAATGCGTGCGACATTGGTCCCATAAACGGCCGGATTACGTTCAGTGACGTAAGCTTCCGCTATCTCGGCCAAAAAAAAGAAACTTTGAAGAACGTTTGTATTTCAATTCGACCCCGAACAACAGTTGCATTGGTGGGGCGATCGGGTTCTGGCAAATCGACACTCCTCGAACTTCTGCTGCGGCGTTATGATGTCAATTCTGGATCAATCAAGATCGATAGCCAGGATATCAGGGAACTCACTCTTGACTCTCTACGAAAATCTATTGCGTTTGTACCTTCAAAGAGCCAGATATTTCACAACTGGTCAATATGGCAAAATCTGACCTATGGAAGTTTTGATGTTCACTTTGAAGCCATCACCGAGGTATGCTGCGCTGTGGGTATTCATGATAAGATCTCCTCATCTTCAAAACAATATGAAAGTATTGTTGGGCGAGATTTGAATTTCTCCGATGGAGAGATGCAACTCCTTGAGATCGCGCGAGCCTTGATCAGAAAGGCACGCATACTTGTGCTCGACGAGCCAACCAGCAGCCTGGATGCTGATACTGAGGCAATGATATTTGAGATGCTTGGGAAATTGAACATCACCATATTCATGTCTGCAAATCGTCTCTCCAGCCTCAAGAGGGTGGATGAAATCATTGTTCTTGAACAAGGAGTCATCAAGGAGCGTGGAAACCACAATGAGCTAATGGAAACACATGGAGGCGTCTATCAGAGGCTTTATTCTCAATGGTCAGAGTAACAGGTTGGGTGATAATAATCATTCCGATATAGGACCAATCAAGATTTTCATAAATCGTGGCTCATGCTTCCACGAGCTTCGCGTTGTTCTGATATCCTCGGGCACCAACAGTACTGATGTAGTTAGTTATTAACTACCAGCGATTAGCGTTCGATTCATGAAACCGATATGGATCAAGCCAAAAAGTAGTTGAGTGGCATTTGATATGCTGAAAGTGATTTTTGTGAGTGCGGGCCCGATGAAATGATGAACCTAGTGCTGAAAGGGGAAACATAACGCTATTGGCTTTTTACAAGACCTCTATATCCAATATCTCGAGTTTCCTCCGCGTGGTTAGGGTCGACATGGCAGGTAAGTGTCTCGAAAAGGTAAATCCAAGCGGAAAGGGGGGTGGTTACAAAAGCCTGAATTCTACACTTGGCCTTGCGAAAGTTTTGGCTGCACCTGGGGCAGATTGGGATGCTGATAGTTAGTTGAACGCCGTTGTGGTACAATGCTTCTTGCAAGTGTACAAAGTTTCGGTCGGGGCTATTCATGATCTTAGAGAGCTCGCTCCTTGATGTCTTTACCGCTTTGAGAACTCCCTCCCGAAATGTTTCGTCGTTTGCAAGCAACGAAGCCTAGACAGTCAACAACTTATTTTGTGATATATCGGACTGACAATCTGGCATGCCCTGATATATCATATCCGAACTATACCTTCAATTTGCCTCCTTTCATCTGTTCCAAGGTACATGATTTGCCCCTTCTGTATAATAATTCAATCAATTAAACGTTGGCGGCACGGGGCGCTTACCAGAACCGCTTTTCAAACTTGATTCCTCCCCCATGATGCACTGTGGGGTTACCTGTAAGAGCTGCTCTGGTGGGAGTCCCCCTCCCCCCTTGATGACAATTGCTTTCCTCCATTAAGCTTTCCTTAAGATCAACTGATCCTAGCGTCTGTTATCTTGAGATGAAGCGTTCAAGTTTCATTTCACCTACCTCCTCCTGCCAATGACCATGCTCCGCTCGTAGCAGGCAAGACTTTCAAAACAATGGTTGATGATTGATGTATAGTTCCACCCGGCTTGCACGTTCAGTCCTCGCCTAGGGCCGGAGAGGGCCGACACCCGCAGGGTGGCCCCGTGTACCGAAGGCCCGCCCGAACCCAACGCGAATCAAGGTCCGGTTGTCACCCACATCAACTGTCAACGAAGCTTCTGTCAAAAATCCATGTCCTGAGTTATAAAATTAACATATGTTAATTTGAAAATTTTGATGTATCCAATCTTCGTATAGGTACTTCAGGATCAATTGCGATGCTTCGGCTAGGTTCTTGAACTTCACCAGCCACATATCACAACAGCGCCCAGCACATACTGACCATCTTTAAAAATTCACCATGCCATCAATACGCAATCAGAATGCTTGAGACAGCCAGGATATGAGGCTCTGGCCTCTCTATATATCAACGCTTTGAATAATGAAGTTGATCTAGTTGCCTTCCGTCATGCCGCCGATAGCCTGTTCAAGGGACCCGAGCCTACCGTCCGCGATCGAATGAGCGGGATATCTATCACGGCGAGGTACGTGCCAACAACCATGAATCACTAAATAACAAGGAAGTCCAGACACGCCCTGTAGTCCCAGTGGCCATGATTGTCGTAAACCCCATATCAAGGTTCTTTATAAAAAAAGAAAAAAAGAAAATGGAAATCCATTCACTCGACCACAGCGTAGTCTCGCAGATAGGAACAAGGCTGTAGGGTGCATCAATATTTAGCAAAAAACAACCATGAGGATACCCGCACATCACACGATTGGATATGGTACGTCAATAATGTCAACCGCAAACCACTTCCTTCACAGCTCCTTGCACTTATCCGCCAGCTTCTATGATGGTTCTTTCGTTTAAACACCTTTGTCTGCTAGTGCTTAGGCTTGAACTCCGAGGCTGCAAAGAAGTTGTCAGGGATCTGGAGCAAGGGAAAGAGGAGCGAGTGGAGCCGGTCAAAATGATCGGCCGGTAACCAAAAAGTTTAATGGCACGTGGTGAAGTACCTCTCTTGCCTGCAGACTTCGGTTTGCAGGCTTCGAAGTTTGCATGACCACCTGGATATGGCTGTCGCTTCTTTGAGCCCAGCGATGCAAGACTCGCGCTTGCCCGCAGCATGAGCTCTGCGTTATCAACTATGCTTCGCAGGAGACAACTGCGATATCAAGGGACTCCGCAGGCGAGCGCTGCGAAACCATGGGACTCTAGCGAAATGCGGGCACCTCTACGTGGTGCTAGGGACCAGGATTCAATTCTCGCTTTGCAATTGAAGAAGCCAAGACCTGCGCTGCCATCCATAGATCCGTTATGTAGGCCCGGGCCACGGGCGAAGAGACTGATAGCAGGGCCGTGAGAGCGCGTTCTGCGCCCTGTTTTCACTCCAAGATATTATGAAGTACGAATAAACCCTGAATCTTGCAGTTCCAGATTTCGCCGTGCATAGTAGTATCATTTCCAGAATCTGATTCACAGGATGTATACACACACGTACAGGCTGGTCGGCTCGGCCAAAGACCACCAGACTCGGGCAAGAAAGCATTATTCACGTCTGCTTCACAGGTCAGAAATACTGAGATGACTGTTGAGGTTGGCATTGATGGTGACGGGGTAGATGCGGTGATCAATAGTTTATGGTGGCAATCAGCCTGCTTTGGTGAACAGTTGACCAGCTTTTGTAAATAGTTCAACCTGTTTTCATAAACAGTTGACTGAGCGTGCGTAAAAGGTTGGACTTGTCATTATCAACAATTGATCCTGCTCTGATAAACAGTTGATCCAGGGTTGATAAATAGTTTAATGATCATTCAAAGAAAAAAAAATAAAAAGTTGAGCTTGCTCTGGTAAACAGTTGAGCATACTTTGACAGACAGTTGCTTGAGCGTGCATAAACAGTTGACCTGTTTTCATCAGCAGTTGACTGAACATTCCTAAACAATTGACTGAGCGTCGGTAAACAGTTGAACCTGTTTTCATCAAAAATTGACCGGCTTTGGTAAACACTTGAGCCTGCTCGAATAACAGTGACCAGCTTGAAGACATGTGGATGGTGATAGTGTCAATGCGTCGATGAGCAGACTGTCAATGCTTAAGTCTGGACGCGTTGTCTAACGGAGTGAGTCGCTCAGGCGGTGTGTCACCCCCCGCGCACACGTCGTCCGACTTGGGGGAAGATCTCACCCACATCACTGAATTTTTATCATAGGCCAACAGCCGTTGTCAAGTCTTTCTGGACAGGAAAAAGAGTCGTGGCATAGGTCTGGCAATTATGTACCAAAAAGAAAGCTATATCATGTCATTAACTTGGGAGACCCTACACCAAGAATCCAGTTGGCTAGAGCTTCCCGGTACTACATATACATATATTGTAGCTGCACCTCTCTTAATCAATGAACAACATTTTCCTTTTGAACTACAGACGCCGTGACATCAAAGTCGCACGCGTGACTTGTATATCTCTAGTGCTCTCACAAACACATGACCAATGAAGCCTACACCGGTCGGTTCTGAGTACGACAGCGATACATCATGAAACAAATGGGACTAAGTTTATTCAAAGTCGACCACGTATGATACAAACATGAAGCTAATGCTCGGCAACCCGACCGGCTACAAACTTGAGTGCCACATCACTGCGCGTGAGCCCTAGATCCGATGAAATGACACCGTACACGTCCTTTGTGTACGTCTACGTTGCGAGCTTCCCCTGCCCCACACACTGACAAGGCTACCATATTACGACCATCGAACGACATGATATGTATACTGCACGTGTCTCACTGACAGCAGTCATCAGTCTACGAGAAGGATACATCATCGAGGTTTTATCAGGGAACTACGCAGGCGGTTAAAAAGCAGCGTGCAGGACGAAAGCATAATGAGCCCTGCATCACCGGCCTAGAGTTTGCCCAGCATGACGAGCACTCCTCTTGAAGCTAGACGATAGCACTTGAAAATACTACGGAAGAACCTGATAATCACTCTCCGTCAGCCAGCAGCTCACGCGGAACATAAGATGCGCCTAAAAAGGCAAGTCAAGGACTCGCGGTGATCATGCGCTGCGAGACATCAGCGACGCAGCGACGCACAGCTGTGTATCTGATGAGACATGACTGTGCGATAGCTGAGATGTGTGATTGATGAGGTGGCCAGCAAGCGTTGTGTCATGACGCATCACCCTCGTTCAGCACGATGTCATTCTCTAGGACAAGTCAGCAGAGCTTGCTGTGCTTGGATAGAGAGCCAACACGCGCGCTGAGAAGGGCCCGGAGCGAGCAAAGATGACTTCACGCAGTCATGCAGGGATGTACACGACGGCGCAGATGGTACAGGGACTTGCCAGGACGATGCAACGTAGAGACACCGAGCTCGCATCTCACACCACATCACCGTGGCACAAATCTCACTGCTGTACCTGAATGACAAGCAACTGAGCTAGATATTCAGCACCAACACGCAAGACCCTTCTTTGTTCTGCCATGGCAGTTCGACGGGTAGCCTTACACAATGATGGCTTCCTCTTCATAGATCCCCACACTTAGCAGAGTGAATTCCTGGGCGAAATTGATATCACCGAGTACCAAATTCTCTGTATTTTTCGATTCGCCAATAAAATGGGCATGGATTTTTGGAAGCTCAAATCGACTTCTCTTCAGCAGCAGTAGGGCAGAGGCGGATGTCACGTGACGGAATGGCAGGGGCTGTATGAGAGGACACAAAGAGAGCATTTAGGTCAGCAATCAACAAGCATTTCGAGACATCCAATCACTTGGAACGGCTCGAGCAGGACCGTAATCTGATCGATAATGCGAGAGACGGCGCAAATTCATAACACCTTGCATGAGATCTCCCAGACCTCAGAACGACTGATGTGATCAAGAGAAGGCTTTCTGAAGGGCTTGAAATTGGAATACTGCATGCAACCTTGTCGGCTGAGGCTATTAACTGGGGGTGGCGCTTCACAAATGCTTCCGTCAATCGGGCCAGAATTGCCGAGCTCGCAGACTGCAATGCATGGCTGGGCAGATGTGGCTTCATGTCACCCACATTTGGACATGATCGCTCCACCGACAGAGCATCAAGCACCAGCGGGCCCAATGTCATACATGCCGCTTGTAGTCCAGTTCAATCGCTCCATCAAAAGAGTCCATTCATCGAGTTTCTCATTGCATGAGATGAATCCCTATGCTGAACCTCTCCTCAAGTTTCGAGTACCGTCTTTTCCCGACCGGACCGAGAACATGATGACGGCATCTGCTAGCGTGTCATCGCTAATGCCGACTGGATCAGGCTGGAATGCATATTCGCTCGACTACTGCAGTGTCCATGAAGATCGGTAAAAGTCGGTCGCGCAGCAGGGAGGCAGGGTCACCAAGAATGATAAACATTCGCAAGCTGAGCTGCTTGTCGAGCAAAAATGTCGAATGGTGTCGGCACTCGCACCCTCATGGATGGAAATCAGCCTGGTGTTTCCAAAGCGAGAGAGGTTGGACTGGCGTTCCCGTCCACCAGTCTGACGCGACGGCAAAGGCGGTGGGGCCGTCCCAGACGCGCGTTACAGTGTTGTTTACGCGACGACCCGCGCAGTTGGTCCGCACATGACAGTGGCCGTTCGAAATACGTCAGTCGATAACGAACCTCCTCGCCACTTGTCATATTCGACTTTACCTTATGTTAGTCCCTCTGATGAAGCCCGGTAGATATTGCAGAAAGTTTCGACTCAATCAATGCTCGCTCTAGTCAACTCTTAAGATCGCTTTGGACCTCTCTCTCTTTCTCTTATTTGATATCACAGCTGTAGCCGACTGGAAAGGCTATAAAGCATACCTCGAGCAGAGGTATCTGATTTTCCCCCTAGTCCTGGTCGAACCACTCCCACGAGCCGCATTCCACATATCGATGCCCACGAGCCCATTTCCACAAGCCCACTCCCACAAGCCCACTCCCACAAGCCCACTCCCACAAGCCGACTCTAAGACCGGCCGACTCAAGACCGACTGACTCCCGCCGTGGCACTGACTTCAGCCAGACAACCGTGGTGGTATGCTCTCAGACATTTCTTGGGCGTACTGCCTGACACCCCAGCTCACTTAGGAAACGAGCAGCACTTATGTTGAAATGACATGCGTATCCAGAAAGTTGTCAAACTTATGTTGATGTGCTTGGGTTTTCGCACGGAGACACTCCTGTGAACATATTAGCGAATAGATCAGAAAAGGGCCCTTGACTCACGTTTATCCGATGACTGATCAGCGTTTTGACAGGCGATTGGAGGATGGGCGACGGGTGCAAAATCCAAATTGAACAAACTCATTTTGGCACTGCCCAATCACCAAGGTGACCCTTTGGAAAGTCTGGCAAAGGAGCCAATGCTCAATATTTGGACTCGAGGCAGACGATGTTTGTGATGATCCCCGCTCCAGTCTGCATGATGAGAGCTGCTCATATTGGGTTGCGGGAAAATCAAGGGTCCAGGAGTGCATGGGATATGATTCGGTTGCCATTGATCCTCCGGCCACCAATGTGTAGTATGAGGCCGGTCTTCATGATTGGCCTCTTTGCTGGAAGTTTCGCACTGCTTCCCACATGTTGGGATTGGCGAGGAACACTCGGTCTCGGCGCTTGGCGTTGAGGCGGTAGGAGCAATGCCTTCCCCCGCAATCGATTGCATGTCACCGAGCTCGCGTGCCAATGTCGAGACGCCATACCCATCACACGGTATTCTCGACGGGGGAGCCCATTCTGCTCGTCAAATTGGGTTGGCCGCACTGTCGGGGTCATCTGAAGATCGCTGATCAAGCGCTCTGTAGTTGCGCCCATCTCGGAGTAGTCTGATAACAAGCACCGTCTGGCACTGCTTCTCTTTTCCATGTCGGTTCATGGTGTTCGTTGGAGCAATTCGAGCTTTTGCACCGTGTGTTGTCGAGTTGGTCCGCACTTGGCAAGTGACTCTCAAAAGATGTCAGTATACATCTGGCGATCAGGGGTCCACTCACAATCTTTCATCTTGGACCTCACCACTCGTTGGCCCGTACATAAATCGCTCCACAAAAGCTCTTTGTCCGTGGCGGAACGGGTTCGTGGACTTGTCTGGCACATTGATTCTATTCTCAACTCTTGCGAAATATTGGTGGCGCTCAATGATACAAGATCGGCCGAAAGACGGTAGTCTATCGTAGCCTGACACCCGGATCATTCGCTCGAGGTGTGCCTGGAGGCAGGTCCTACTGGGCACGGTATCGAGAATATCGGTTTTTACCAGTTTAATGTTACCATGCTTTCAGGAAAGAATTATCTCCAGGGACCTAGGGAATATTCAAGTACAGGAAAAGTCTTCTGACTCACCTTTTCAGGTACCGGGCTGACAGTTGTACCACCCTTGTAGTATTGACCGAGGTGATTGAGTATGGATTGGGCTGGTCGCAAGTTCGGTGTTCAGCGCAGTCTTCAATAGTATTGGGCTGGCCGTCATAGCTGCCCAAGACAAATTGCTCATGCTGTCATAATTGAAAGAAGCCTAGAGAGGCAAAGTTCGGTCGGTTGGGTGGCCAGGCTCATAGGTGTCATACATGCGGGATATGGTGATGCGGTTGAGACTTGTGACCCTGGCCTAGCTGATAGATACGAGTGATAGCGAAATATCAACAGCGTAACGGAGCTGGATGACTTCATCGGTCGGGAGGTGTATGATCCGAGTCAGTGAGCAGTGAGCACCGACACCGAAGATCAAAGGAATGAAAATTATCTTGGGCATCAGGGGCCTGTGAAAACAGAGGACGCCCTCTCGTAAATGATGCAATGCTCAAGCTGCAGGCTCGCAGACGAATGTCGTTACCATCCCTCTCGCGGCGATGACGAGCGCTCTAACAACGAGTCTGCCGACAACCGCTCCTAGTACGCCACGCAGAACGGTTCGAATGACTTGTTTGGCCCAACAGTGGCACCCAGTCGCAAAGGGCAACATGTGCACAATAATAATGGATTACGTTGTTAGAAGCTTAAAGCAGACTCTCGGCGACGCGCATCCTGATCTACTGACGTTTCAACATGAACTTGCAGGAGCATGCCAATCAGATGGCCAGATTAAGCGTGCAGTTACGCTGCTTGAGCATGTGATTGCTGCGGAAGCGAAAATACTGAGCGAAGACCATCCAGATCGATTGGCATCTAAACATGAACTCGCACGAGCATATCAAGCGGATGGTCAACTCCGGCGCGCATTGGAACTTCTCGAGCAGGTTGTCGCTATTGAGGAGAATACATTACGTGAAGACCACCCTGATCGACTGGCATCACAGCATATGCTTGCTAGAGTTTGCCAAGCGGTGGGACAGACCAATCGCGCTTTGAAGCTCCTCGGGCATATTGTAGCTTTGCGAGAGAGAACTCTTAGCGAGGAGCACCCTGACCGACTGGCATCTCAGCATGAATATGCTGTAGCGTATAGGATGCATGAAATGAACAGGGCCATATGAAAATAAGTAACTTTCGACTACCGTCAGGTCATGCGTGTTCTACCGACGACGCTGAATGTGTACGCTTACATTTCTCCATGCTTGACGAATATATTGTTGACTCAAATTTCCCTTTTTAGAACATTTAAATGTCTGCTATCAAATATTAAGCCAGTACACTTGGCTCTATACTCGCCTAGGCCCGCCACGTCTAGCGTGAGATGGTGTGGCGACATGGCTCTGCGTTCTTTCCACTTCCGACATACGAGACAGCGGGTACTGAGCTTTCCCGGAAAGCACGCCCCGTCCTCGCCTTGGTCCCTGCGTTTGACCTTGATACACATCAATTTGATGCTTTCAATGCCTTCCTAAATAGCTTGCCGGGCGAAACGGTGATAACCGAGGGTTTTAGGCAGTCTGGCTATTGCTGGAAGCCCTTGAGAGCTCGCTATGGCCTACAGAAATCTCCAAGGCTCTGGCAGCGCGAGGCCTCGAGGGTCTTGACCCAACTAGGTCTCAAAGCTGCCCAAGAAGACCTTTGTCTCTTCGCAGCAGACGGTATAATTGTGTTCTTCTATGTAGACGACATAATTGCCGTCAATCACCCATCTCAGCGCCAGCGCGCGGCTGAGATCAGAGAAACGCTTGACACATGGGAATTGAGACACATGGTGAAGCTTCATGGTTCCTTGGGATTCGTATAGTCCGTGATAGACAGCAGATGGCCCTCTGGCTCTGTCAGGACTCATATATCTCCTCTATGACAAGCAGATATCACCTTATCACCCATCGTCGCTTTGATACACACCTTGCGCCAGCTACATTAAAGCCATATATTGGGCAAGCCACAAATGAACGGATTAAGGAGTATCAGGAGAAGGTAGGCTCCGCTCAATATGCAACCACCATAACACGGCCAGATGCAGCCAAAGCAACCTCTACATTAGCTCAATTCCTCGCGAAATCGGGTCCGGACCATCTAGAAGCCATCAACCGCCTAATATCATACCTCTATCACACGCTTCCACGCCCTCACTTATCGCCCACGCCGATTCGAGGAGGATGAAGCCGTTGCTCTCTTTAGTGATGCCTCGTTCGCCGATAATCCTGAACGGAAGAGCTCTGAGGGATACATCTGCACATCTTTGGAGGACCTGTTGACTGGAGAGCCGGCAAACAGTGCACGGTGACTACTAGTACAACCGAAGCGGAGCTGCTAGCGATCTCTGAGGCTGCGAGGACTATGAGCATGTGGAAACGTCTCTTTGAGGCTATTCGCTTTGATCCAAAGCATGAGCTTGCCATCCAATGTGATAATCAGCAGACAATTCGGCTTCTCACCAAGGAAGCTTCTCAGCTGCGGACGAAGCTACGTCATGTGGATATACACCACCACTGGCTCCGCCAGGAGGTCCAGGCAGGCAGAATTCTCATCAAATGGACTGAGACGAATGATATGGCTGCGGACGGACTCGCCAAGCTGTTACCTCGCCAAAAGCACGCAGAATTCGTTCAAATGATAAGCCTAGAGGGTATTGGAAATTTGCTAGATTATCAGAGGAGGTTGGAATTGTGCAAATTATCTGAACACGTAATTACTGTCGAAAATCATGTACCAATGGTATGGGTCACGCACGTATGTGTACTTGTCTGGTATTCTCTAGTTTACACCACAGCAGTTCATATGGTACACTGACTAATATAGCTGATTACATGATCCATTGCTCCAACACAAACGCTGAGGGGTGTGACAGACTAAGGAAGCGGTCAACAGTCTGGACTAATTTAAACCGACCAAATCATTAGATCAAGATAGGGCGAATTCAAAATGCCTCCAGGGGCCGCCGCGACCGAGCGGGCGGCAACACCCGAGCTGACCGAGCAATCGGCGGCACCACGGCACCGCAGCCACTGCGAACCTCAAATCGACCAATCAGAGTTCCTGTATCATACTCTCAGGAGCAAGAGAGGGACGCCGCTAGCAGACGCCAGAGAAAGAACCAACCGGAACCTCACCAACACGAGAGTGCAACAGCGGGACACGTTGCGCCTACACCTGACCAAACGGACCCAATTCTACGAGCGATTCTAGAAGCCTTCGGGAAGATTGAGACCTCAAACAAATACTTTCACCAAGAGATTGAAGCGAGACATGTGGAGAGGTCCAGATTCCAGTCTCAGATCACCGAGCTTCGTAACGAGCTGTGCCGGAGGGACGAAAGATACCAAGAGGAGATAAAGAGGTACAAGGTTGCACTGGCGGAGATGCAGGAGAAGGTGGAGGAACTCAAACAAACGGCTCTGACAGCCAATCTGACAGCATGTACCTGTAATGGTCACTACGAAGAGCTGCGGGCGGAGCGACTGGAGCTCCACACCGTGGTGACCAGCCCGAGCATAGGCCGGAGCTGGGCATCGATTATGTCTCAGCCATCGGTAGTGCCGTCGAATACCTGGGCTGTGCGCTCGAGCCTCGGTCTCTCGGCTGTCGTCCTGGACGTACGATCAGCAAGTGACGAAATCAAAGCGTTGGTTGACGACCCCGTATAAATGCGCGAGAAGGTCCGGGCCGCACTCGATGATGAGACAGCCACCTCGAGTGTCGAGATTGTTGGGATCAAGCCGACCTCCCGGACGACGATCAAGGTTTTTGTCGACTCGGAAGAAAGTGTTGCGCATCTACGCCGAGCCACTCACTGACTGGATTCCTTGCCGGGAGCTACGTTGTAGGGGGAGCAATGGTTCCCCGTTAAGCTAAACGATGTCAAGAATGAAAGTGCCTACGCAGCATTGGGAACGCAGCATGAAGATTTCACGCGGATCTTCCAAGAACAGAATAATGTCGAACAGGTTAGAAAGATCGTCTGGCTGAGTGGAGCGAAGCGATACGGATCTATGGCGATTTACCTGTCTAGACAGGGAGATGCTGATGCACCTTTAACCCGTCGAATTGCCCATGTGCGAGAGGAAGCAGCGTTCTCCGATAGATTCTATGAACGTCCGAGGCCGCTGCGATGCCGCAAATGTCAAAAATATAAACATAAGGAGGACCGGTGCCCGAACCCCGAGGCCTGCGGTAAGTGCGCGGGCCATCATCGCGTTGAGTAGTGCACATCGGATGTTGTTAAATGCGCTGCCTGTTAAGGCAATCACGCTATCAACGACCGTCACTGCCCGAAGTGGGACGAAGCGTGGAAGGCGATCCGCCGGCGAGAGCAGGATATGACAGCGAGACGACTCTCGATGCAAGCCCCATGAATATTCTCGCAGAACATGAAGCTCACTAGCAAGTTGTTGGCGATGATTTTCCAAGATTGAGACATGGTCCTCGACTTGCTGAATCAGAAAGGAGAAGTCACGCTCCCTTTGCTCATGCACGCCGCATATCAACGCTACATCAAATTAGCTAGGAAGAATATATAGCGCATAGAAGACTCACGGTGACTTTGGGACGAGTGTGCAAATCTAGTAAATGATTTGTCTGCAATGGCTGCCATTGGGAATTCACTCTGAGGAACACCTTTTGTCGTAGTGCAAGGCTTTAATTTGGTTAAGAGGGGGGTTGACGTTTATTTGTAGCCACAATGTGAAGCCGAAGACAATGGCGGTATAAGTAAAAGCCTTTGTCCGTTCCTAGGATCTAGCAGTGCCATCCCAAAAGCTGCAGCGGCCATTCCCAAAATAATTTTCTTATATCAAATTGCGAGGTGGCAAAAAAGTGATGTGCTCCCTGTGATTTTGCTGTTCTACATAATACATCTTTCAAGCCGAGCAGAGCACTACAGTATTATTAGTGTCTCTCGTATTGAGTCTTCTCCAGACAATTCATTGTCAACCAGTTACCGTCACTCGTCCGTCTACTACAAGTTACATAGTTGCATATCGCCAGCCCTCAATTAGGCACGTCGAATTCGCGAAGTGGCACGATGCGCTCGATTACTTGCGATCCAGACGTGTTCACTGTCGGAAGTGGATCGTTTCTTGGCCGACGGCCGACTTGACATCATTTTCAGAATAAACTCTTGAGTATACATACCTCCTTGCCGGATCTCATGATAGCAATGTGTTCCTTGTGAAGAGTTTGCCTCAAATCAGCGTGTGGCTTGACAAGAAACAAGAAGGAGGAAAGTACGTTGGGAGTCGCCCACGACTGTACCACCGGCACGGCATCCAGGTGATACTCAACAGAGGAGAGGCAAGCCAACGACCCGATCAACTGATAGTGTGGTGACTTCAATATAGGCTTCCGACGCATATAACAGTACGCTTGATTACCATGGTGTATCTAATTGCGGTATCGTGATTTGTGATTCTCGCCACAGTTGGATTTCTATCAAGCGGCTGGAAGCAAAATAACAATTCAATAGTTTCATCCATAGGCCAACGCATGCATCGGGGAAATTTGGGTGCAGTCTTCTAGGCTGGAACAAACCCAAAGGCAGATTCTACATTTTCCATAGGCTAAAATCCCGGAAAGGCATGTAACAGTAAGTATCATGCATCGTTGGTGCGATTCTCAGTTGAATTATCTTGATTTATCTACTACAGCACTCCAACTCAAAAGGTTAACCGACTGATCCAATACGCTTGCAGCACGAGGCAGCCGGGATAGCTGAGCCTCGACTGCTACAGGTCGGATTGCAGGACCCTGTCATTCAGTACTCTGGTAATACAGCATCTGTTATTCATCATCAGACCCATTCCTACGGTTTGAGCTAACACATTTCATCAAGCTTGGCTGTTCTCCAATCTTGAAGACCGTCGAAGCGGAGTGGCGCTGACATTGCGCGCTAGTCTCGCTGATCGCCGAGGCTCAACGTGATGTGCTAGTGCGTGGGCCGACCTATTCTCGCTTGGTAGAGATCCTCCTAGCTGCGAATCATGCGTCCTGTCTATGTCCTCGTCCATTGAAGTGCTAGTGGGGCTCGTAGCTGTCCGGAGCCCAAGACATACGAAGGCGTCCAGAGCCCCTTGGCTGCGGCTGTATATTGTTAGAATCCTTCGTCTATGACAATTAAGCGGGTCGACTTACCAAACACAGCAAGATGTCTCAAAGCCGGCGTCACGCTGCTCAAGCTACGCCTCCATGCAGGATAGATACGAAATTGCATGGCATCGTTGGCATCGTAGAATGATATTTTCATCAGTCGGCTCTCCATCTTCCGCCAAGCAGAAAGTGCAATGAATGTCGCTCACCTCATGGCTGACAGTGAGATGGTGCAGTTCCAGGTCTTGCGTTCCTGCCAGAATATTGGCGATAAATGAGACAATGGCGGGCTGCTCCGGTGAGACATCCCAAGGCACATTGTTTTGCTCGCAGCATCGCAGTAGATACGTAAGGCTGGATCCCTTGGGGTAGCATGACTTCGGCAGGACTGGAATAATATGAGGCATCCTGATCCCGCTGATGTACAGTAGGCTGGAGCAGGTCATCCTCATTCTGGGTTGGCGCGGTCGCGTATTCCAGCACAATGTTTCCATCGAAATGGTTGCGAGTCGCGGCATCATACCAGCGCCGACTGACCTGCTCAACCTGTCCGCCTCGATGCCATCTCGCGCACAGAAAATGCGTTGCAATATCTTGCAATATTGGCTGCAGGGTCTGTGCGTTAAAAGGTGCTCCAGCGAGGTTGCTCAGCTTCTCACGCCCCCGCCTGAGCACCTTCGCTTTGATCCTATTTCTGCACCGAACACCTCGTCCTGTGATGCCGCAGCAAGTGGCGCGATGGCCAAGATCCTCGTTGATCTCACAGATGTTGACTGGGTTCCAAAACGTAGAGATGGCAAATAATTAGAGGTACTGCGGCAGTATATGCGTCGATCAAAGAAGATGAGTCCGGGATTGGGGTGCATTGAAGTTGTCGAGCTAGAAGTTTCTGGGCGCCCTGTAGCTTGATAAATTTCCCCCTACTAAGCTGTATGATGTGATCCCACTGAAGAATATATTTTAGGCATCTAACTCATGGGTTTAGTTATCTCCATGGCTCAAAATTACTAGTAGATCACCAGCAAACATGTCGATCCATTGTGTGCGCAGACTATAGCGAATGAGCAGACACCCGGGTACCAGTGCTGCGGTGATGCGGTGGAAGAAGTCAGTTGGCAATGTGAGAATTAAGTGATCATTCAAGCAAATTCAGGGCTCCAGGAAGAGCATGGGGGTTTCTGGGAACCCTCTCGTTCCTGGGATCTGGCTGCCTATTCCGCGGGACTCATTCCCACATTTTAGCCAGTCGAAGTACATCCAGCTCAAACATAGAACAGCTCAAAGCAGCCCGAGGAATATGCTTACCATGACGCCTGTTATAAATACTACAGTCGGGCTTGCGACATCGAGCCTTATCCTGTGCTGACCAGTATTCTCAACGCCACCATTACTTCATATGAGAACCAACACTCCCACTTAATCTCAGAGATGTCGCACCGCTCCCTTCACATTGGTAAGATACACCTACTTGACTTTCAGTGCGACTGGTGACCTCTCGTTCTGACAGCCTGTTCGCCGCCACGCGATAGATTATCTGCTACTCTCTGTTGCAGGCAATTTAACCAGAATGCGCTATTCTTTGCAATTACTCGGGGAGACTTGCACGCTGTGAATCAACTCTTCGAAAGGAAATGTATCGATGTCAACAGCAGCGGACCGAAGAGCCAACCACCCCTCTTTACAGCTCTTGAGTATCAACAGTACGATATCCTGGAGGTCCTTCTCAATGACCCGCGAGTCAAAGCCCACATCACGGATGGCCAAGGTCGCACTGTGCTCCATCTGGCGGTGATTTACGACGATCACCTCGCAGTCCAGGCTCTCTTGAAATGTGAAGCTATCGACGTCAACAGCCTAAGCTTTGCAGGAGACAGCGCATTGCTTCTCGCAGCCAAAACATACGATGGCTTGGAGTCCAGGGGCACGATACTTGACCTGTTGATTTCTCATCCAACATCTGTGGTAAGCCAGTGCGATGCCAAAGGTTGCTCTCTCCTGTGGCATACAAAAAATACGTCCAATGAAAGGCTGATGGCGCAATTGGGGTAGAGTCTCCTCTGGAGCTGGGTCCGCCTCGGAGATTCAAGATGCGTCGCCGTTGAAAGAGTTGGCCGTGGGCAACTGTAGAGTTGCGCGGCACGAAGTGACGATGACATGTCTCATCATGCGGGAAGAAGATGCGAAATCATTATATCGAAAACCCATTTTAAGCTGTGGATGCCCTTTCAATGGCCGTGGTGGGAAAAGACGCCGCCGAGACGCGACGCGTAGCCGCCCGTACGCAAGCCGATCGCCGCAACATCCAAGTCCTCGCGTGGCCCGCCGTCGACCATCATGAGGATTGCCAGGCAACGTGGAAACTCGCATTTGAGCCCTGGCAGACAGAGGGGAGGGTCTAATCAAATTTCGTGAATCGAAAGGATGTCAGTGTTGCGATGTAAATTTGTTTTTAAAATTATCAGGTCAGGGATCTTCAATATATATTCCGCCAGCGTGGGATTCGAAGCCACATAACTCATTGCAAATGGCAGTTTGTGTTGATGCATCGGTGAGACTTATCAATTCTATATCTTCTAGTACTGTCAAGCTACAGTTTCTGATATGCATAGATCACGAAAAAGGATTAGAATGCTATAGTCTGCAGGATTGAGATTGAAACCAGACCGAGGGGTTCAACTGAGGTCTGCCAAGTTGAACCCCATAGGCCACCGTAATTGGTTAGCCCAAGGGCCGAAGCTCACCGCCTTATCGAAGCCCGTCAACAAAGCCTGGTCCGTTCTCGCGTCGGCAGTTGATTGTCAACCTGGCCGTCGCACCACGCATGATGGCTCGAATTTGCCAACCTAACTCGCTAATACCGCCAAGTAAGGGACTCTACTAGACCTCTCACCGCGTCTCTTCATCAAGTCCCTAATGGCTAGCTAAATCAACCTATACCTATCCCTATCAACCCGCTATTTTAGCTTCGTAGCTAGGCTAACACCCTCTCGATGCGGAAAATCATGAGGAAAGGAAAAGTGGAATGCTATTCACCTTGCCACACCGCGTGGAACACTCAAGACGTCCAAACCCGAACCCCGGCCACCTTGACCTTATCGTACGCGTCGCCCTAGATCCAATTGGAAGATGGCTCAGCTGCTTGTATACCCAACTCCTTCATCCAAATACGTTCCGCCCTGTACTCCTCCACCCTTGATGCGTCCAAGGCTGCCCAAAGAGCCAATGTCGCACGACACAAGCGTGCATTGATTGGGGTGAATCCGGAGTGGAATTGCTCTTCCAAGATAAGCTTTTGTGTGATGTCGAACACAGCCTTTGCAAGACGGCAGAAACTCGCGCAGCAGGAGCGATAAAACTCGTTCTCGCGAGCTTGTTCGTCGCGCCGACTGCACTTCTCAATAATCGGGTCCGGTGGATACTGTACCACACCCTTTGCTCTTCCGAGGTCTGTCCTTGTCGTCTGCAAGGCCATCGTACTTTTCCCCGTCACAAAGACTCGATGATCGAGAG